ACCTACTTAGAACAAGCTTAGCAAAGCACAGGGACCGCGGTTCAATCCCCCAGCACCACATGCCAGCCAGCCCCGCCCCCTGGTGGGCTGAACTGGCCACACACACACACACACACACACACAAATAAATAAAATTAATTTTTTTTAAAAAAGTAGGATGTATTACTCTTTTTTTTTTTGGCAGAACTGAGGATTGAACTCAGACCCTTGTGCTTGCCAGGCAAGCACTTATTCTACTGAGCCATCTTCCCAGCCCAGTATGTATTACTCTTAAATCCTGTATTACAGAAACTATCAAACTATATGTCCAGACAACTGTTTTACTTTACAGCCTTTGTTTGTTTTGAGACAGGGTCTCAATGTAGTTCAGGCTGGCCCTGAAATTACAGTGTAGCCCAGGGTGGCCTCAAACTTGAGATCCTTCTGCCTCAGCCTCTGAAGTGCTGAGACTACAGGCATGTACCACCTTGCTCAGCCTGAATAGCCTTTTAAAAAGCATATTGCTGAATTTTTATTGTTATATTCATTTAAGTTTGCAAATAATTTTTTACAATGTGCAATCTATTATCAGTGTATGTTATGTATTCATTTCAGAAATATTTTTCTAAAATTCACTGTCTACATCTCATATCTTTCACATTTCAATTGTCTACAATTTTTAATTTGCTATATAATTATTATTTTCACCAAAGTTAATAAGTTAAAAAATATAAGGCATATTTCTAAATAAAATAAAAGCATATTGCTAAGCTCTTCCTTACCAACGTTTGATTGTTCAAATTTTTAACTTATGCTTCGTAAAGCTTCCCATATTGCTGTGCCTTTTAACATTTAAGCCATTCAATTTGTGTAATGTTCTGTTTCCCCTAGCAATAGTAGATTTGTCCAAAAAATTTGGGGTAGTGAGTGCCCAGAAAATGTTGAAGAGGAAAACACAAATCTTTGTTTGGTTTCGTCTCAGTTACTGTTTTCTCCTTGCTGGGACAAATACCTGACACTCAAAATGAAGGAAGGAAAGGTTTATTTAGCTCACAGTTACTGGAGGTTTCAGTGTTTACTCAGCCAGCTTCAAGGCGGAGCGGCATATGGCAGAGGGCAGCAGTTGACGGTGGTGGCAAAGAGCAGAGAGCAACCTTTCATGGTGGCAGCAAAGTGCAGAAAAGAAAAGGGCAGAGTAGTGGCAACAATGGCAACAGAGAGCAAGTCGGTCTCTCATCTCCCTTATGCTGCGTTCAGGCCATCTGCCCCAG